ACCCTTCCAGTGCTGAGAGATCGAAACTCAAAATTTTGACCCGAAAAAAAAAACGACAGTGTTACCCCTTACGTTTTTTTTTTTTTTGGGCGAAAAATTAAGTATCCCCAATCTTCTCAAAACTCTGGATTCTGATAGAGGGCCATGGGACTTAGACCTGAGTGCAAAAATGGAGGCTCTAGACCCTTCCACAGCTGAGATATCGAAATTCAAAATTTTGACCAGAAAAAAAAACGACAGTGTTACCCCTTACGTTTTTTTTTTTGGGCGAAAAATTAAGTATCCCCAATCTTCTCAAAACTATGGATTCTGATAGAGGGCCATGAGACTTAGACCTGAGTTCAACAATGGAGGCTCTAGACCCTTCCAGAGCTTAGATATCGAAATTCAAAATTTTGAAAAGAAAACAAAAACAACAGTGTTACCCCTTACATTTTTTTTTTGGGGGGGGGGGGGCGAAAAATTAAGGATCCCCAATCTTCTCAAAACTCTGGAATCTGATAGAGGGCCATGAGACTTAGACCTGAGTGCAACAATAGAGGCTCTAGACCCTTCCAGTGCTGAGATATCGAAACTCAAAATTTCAACCCGAAAAAAAAAAAGACAGTGTTACCCCTTACGTTTTTTTTTTTGGCGAAAAATTAAGTATCCCCAATCTTCTCAAAACTCTGGATTCTGATAGAGGGCCATGAGACTGAGACCTGAGTGCAAAAATGGAGGCTTTAGACCCTTGGCTGAGATATCTCCCACAAATTTCGACGACAAGAAAGAAAACGAACTGTTACTCCTTACCTTGTTTTTTTTGTGGGCGAAAAATTAAGCCTCTCTCTCAAACTCTGGATTCTTCTTGATAGAGGGCCATGAGACTTAGACCTGAGTACAAAAATGGAGGCTTTAGATCCTTCCAGAGGTGAGATATCAAAACTCAAAATTTCGACCAGAAAAAAACCCGACAGTGTTACCCCTTACGTTTTTTTTTTTTTTTTTTTTGGCGAAAAATTAAGTTTCCCCAATTTTCTCAAAACTCTGGATTCTGATAGAGGGCCATGAGACTTAGACCTGAGTGCAAAAATGGAGGATCTAGACCCTTCCAGTGCTGAGATATCGAAGCTCAAAATTTCGACCCGAAAAAAAAACCGACAGTGTTACCCCTTACGTGTTTTTTTTTTGGGCGAAAAATTAAGTATCCCCAATCTTCTCAAAACTCTGGATTCTGATAGAGGGCCATGAGACTTAGACCTGAGTGCAACAATGGAGGCTCTAGAACCTTCCAGAGCTGAGATATCGAAATTAAAAATTTTGACCAGAAAAAAAAACGACAGTGTTACCCCTTACGTTTTTTTTTTCGGGCGAAAAATTAAGTATCCCCAATCTTCTCAAAACTCTGGATTCTGATAGAGGGCCATGAGACTTAGACCTGAGTGCAACAATGGAGGCTCTAGACCCTTCCAGTGCTGAGATTTCGAAACTCAAAATTTCGACCCGAAAGAAAAACGACAGTGTTACCCCTTACGTTTTTTTTTTTTTGGGCGAAAAATTAACACTGTCGTTTTTTGGGGGGGTCGAAATTGTGAGTTTCTCTGATCTTCTTGAAACTCTGGAATCTGATAGAGGGTCATGTGACTTAGACCTGAGTCCAAAAATAGAGCCTCCAGAACCTATCCAGAGCTGAGATATTGAGGTCCCACGTAGCATTTATGCCATTACAAATATCTCAATATCTCAGCTGTGGAAGCGTCTAGAGTCTCCATTTTTGCACTGCAGGTCTAAGTCCCATGGCCCTCTATCAGAATCCAGAGTTTCAAGAAGAATGGAGAAACTTATTTTTTCGCACAAAACAAAAAAACGACAGGGGTAACACTCATTTTTTTGGGGGGTCGAAATTTTGAGTTTCTCTGTTCTTCTTGAAACTCTGGATTCTGATAGAGGGTCATGGGACTTAGACCTGAGTGCAAAAATGGAGGCTCCAGACCCTTCCAGAGCTGAGATATTGAGGTAGCATTTATGCCATTATAAATATCTCAATATCTCAGCTCTGGAAGCATCTAGAGTCTCCATTTTTGCACTCAGGTGTAAGTCCCATGGCCCTCTATCAGAATCCAGAGTTTCAAGAAGATCAGAGAAACTCAAAATTTCAACCCAAAAAAGAAAAAGAAAAAACGACAGGGGTACCCCTGTCAACTTTTTCGGTGCAAGAAAATAAGTTTCAGAAACTTTCAAGAATATCAGAGAAACTCAAAATTTCAACCCAAAAAGAATGACAGGGGTAGCCCTGTCGACTTTTTCTGCCATCCGCTCGTCCACCAACCCACGTCCCTTTGCCTACGGCCCAAGGACGGAATGGACCTTTTTTCGGCCTTGGACTAGCTAGAGTTACTGGAAATCGAAATACAGTGACTTGCTAGCAACCGTCCTGCCAGTAGTACTGTAAAAATACAAGAAAACACAGGATGCACACAGGAAACGACTCTAACATGAATGCATTGATTGATTCCTAGGTTTATTTTGTTATGAATAAACAAATGTGCAATATATAAAGGAAAAACCTTACGATTAAAGTTGTAATGTTATAATGTTCAAGTTTTTGTAGTAAAAAAAGAAAGATGCACACAGAAAATGACTCTAATATGACCAGATTGATTGATTCAAAGATATTTAGTTTGTTACAAACAATGTGCAATCTGTAAAACAAAAACCTCAAAATTATAGTTGAAATGGTATACTGCTGGAATTTTTTTGACCTTGAGAAAAAGCTTAAAGTATAGACCAACAAATTTTATGTTTATTAATTTATTTAATGTTGGTACATTTTTTGGGAAGTACACCTGTTATGACCTGATGTCCATTGGAATGGACAAAAAAAAATCACAATGAAAGCAATTATATATATATATATATATGTTTCATTTGTTTTCATTTATAGAAACCTCATGAGCTGGGAAAATGTACTTTTATATTTTTCAGAAACTTGAAACATAATTCAGGTCTGAGGGGGTTTAACAATTTTAGAACAAAGTATAATTTGCAAGTATAAAAGCGATTGTTAAATTTAATCAGCATGATTTACTGTAATGTCAGAACCAGAACAAAAGTGGATGTTTCTTACTTGATCAGATGACATTTTCTGGTGAAAATTCTTATGTTGGTCATAATCTGTGATTTTTGGATGCCAGTATCGACACCGGCGCGGTGACTGACAGCCTCACAGTCTCCTCAAACATTGTGTTCATCCACACTGTGCCGTGTCGAGGGTGTTGAAGTACAACTCGCGTAAAGTTGATAATTCCATGAATGACTGCAATTGCAGATATCGAACAGAGATGGCGACAAAGAGGAAAAAGGCAGCTTTAAAACTGCAGCTTTAAAATAGAAATAAACAAACAATAAAAGAGCATGCCTTGGCAACTAACTGAAATTAAATAAGTTAAAGTACAAAATGAAGTACAAAAAATTAAAATGAAGTACAAAATGAAGAAAATAAATAAAGCTAAAAAGAAAAAAGCACATACCAAAATGGCTAAAACTGAAAATTAAAAATAATAGTTATTCAAAAATATTTATAAATATGGTATAAATAAACCTAAAACAACACAGGGCTTTCTTATTGTTTCCAATCAAATGAACAATTTTATTAATAAGGCAACATAAATATTTCATTCCAGATGACATGCTACCTTATTATTACTATAAGTACACGAAGACAATACCTCATTCAAGTACTTGATGTTTTTACCTGAAATATTTCTAGAGTGAAAAAGGTCAAATTCAGAGATTCGTCACAAGTGTACAATGCAGGGTATGAAAACATGATCATCTCACAAGTTTTTGTGGCTTCCATTAAAAACATTCAGAAAACAAAGCAATCAAAAACAGTTCACACACGCCACCTTATGAAGGTGCCGACAAAGCATTGAAACCATTGTGGAAGTCACATCACTGAAGAATTCCCACTTCATTGCTTCAGTTCTGATCTGTATTCGGTGTAAATCGTGTCATGAAAATTGTCATGTTGGGAGAGCTCCTCACTGGACTGTTTTTGCTCTATACTGTTGTTTACACAATTTAAATGTATTTTTAAAGGTGCAATCCTGTGTCTACACACATACTGTGTGACACACATACTGTAACTGGCTGTTACTAATGATGCCGTTAAAATATTCCAAAAAAGTAAAAGCACTTTTCGAGTCCTTTTGTGATTTGCTTGCATTTTCCAATGCAAGGCTTATCCAAAGGTCTCAAGAATGTTGAAACACATGCAGACCTCTAAACAGTGATATTACAGAATTTGACATTTTAATATGTGCATTACCATTCAAAAGTTTAGGGTTTGGGTCAGTAAGATTTTTAAAATTTGAATGCTCATGCTCGCAGGGCTGCATTTATTTGATCATACAGTATTTGAAATATGGTACGAACAGAAAGATAGTGTAATATTATTACAATTTAAAATGACTGTTTGAATTTATTTGAAAATGTAATTAAAAGTTTAATTTTCAGCAGCGAAACCTTTAGAAATCAGCATAATTTAAATATATATTTCATTAAAAAAAAATGTTTCTTTACTGACCCCAAACTTTAGGCCAGTAGTGTATATGAGTCTAAAACATGCACTTGACTTGCTATTATTTAAAACTGTCAGTTAGGTCAGCTAAAATAACAGGTGGAAATGCATTTAATGAATTTCTCATGTGCCAGTACAGGAAAATAACGACCAACATGTCAGCTTATTTTCATACGTCGGACCTTCAAGTTGCCCTAGCAGCTCTGATTACAACGCATTCTCACCCCAAGGCGTCACCTTTGACCATGCTTCAATATTTGACGCTTTAGGCGCCCCTTAGCGTCAGTTACATGACGCGATCCTACGGCATCATCTAACTGACGCTAAACGAAAGCGTCAGTTAGATGACGCAGTTAGGTTTAGGTCTGGGGTGGGGGTAGGGTTACACGCGATCCTAGGGCGTCATCTAACTGATGCTAAAGGGCGCCTAAAGCGTCATATATTGAAGCATGGTCAAAATGCTTCCCAAGGTGTCAGTTAGGTGACGCCTTGGAGGTGAGAATGGGCTGCTGATTAACATACAAGAGTCTTTTCTGCAGTTGTACGAAATATTCTCACATAGTATTACTGATCAGAGAAGGCGCATTGAAGGTTGTACGCAGGCGCGCGGACTTGGTGTTGTTGTGTGGCAGTGCTCCACATCGCCACCTAGCCGCCTGGAGAGCATACTACATTGGAAATTTACACACTTTTGCGTCACCATATACACGCAGATTTCTCAACTATTACGCTCGTCTAGACGCAGAATAAAAAGTGAAAACGCAACGGCACTTTTGCGTTTTCTCTTCAGATTGTTTCCGTGTAAACAAAGCCTAAGACGTGTTCAACATTTTTTCTTTACATGTTACTAATTTGTTTACTGTGCCACAATAATGCAGTTCATTGTAATAATATGTTGAATACAACATTTTATAGAAATGTTTGATTTATAATTTTTTCCTGTGTTGGGTTGCCATTTGATGAAATGTAGGCCGAAAAAAATGTAGGTAGAAACAAGTTGAGAACCACTGCTCTATAGGTTGTTTAATTCACAGTTTTTAGGGCAATTCAGGCCACGTCAATGGACTCACTCAGAGTTAACTCTCAGAGCAATCTAGTGATGCCATAAACAGTTTAAGCACAAGTACATGGATTATATGATGTGCTCACCCAATGAAAGTCACTAGATGAATGCTCAGTGTTCTCCTTTGAGCCTTTCCTTAAAAAGCACATTGCTCAGGCCTACAGTAAGTCTTGCCAGCAGTTTCTTAGTCTCCTGAACCCCTAATAGCATTAGAAGATCAATGTTCAGCTGAGGACAGCTCCGATGCAAAGCTTTGTATCTCCGCTGGATCACCGTGATTGGGCAAATGTCAGAGTTCTCATGTGAACTTTCGGTCGAGGGAATTGCACCATTGCCGTGGGAAGCTACATCTGATCCTCAAGAGCTAGACCTCCAAAGTCAATTTTCATTTTCAAGAGGGGAATTTTCTTCATTGTCCTTTCGATGGAGTAAACTCAGCCCTTGCCTTGACTTGTTTCTGTCGCCCCATTGAAAATAATAACCAGGACTGGAGTGAGGTCCATCAGTTTCTTCAGCATTTCCATAATGTCAGGATGTCCTTTTGCTCCTTCAATGAACTCCTCCAGCGTCAGTTCACCTTAACGTTTTGAGTAGAAAGAGTCGTCATAAACTCACTAGAATATATGAATGCATTCTGATGAGGATTTTCATGAATTAACTGGTGCTCACCTTCTCCATGAACATCAATCTTTTCATATATAAGGGTCACAATGTCCTCTGGAGAAATTTCACGATTTCTTGTAATGTCTTGTATAGCCTGTTGTAGAAAACATTTTTTTTTTAGAAACATCATTGAAAATCTATATACTAGAGCATTTTTTTTTTTTTTTTACATCTGAACTGCTGCAGTGTTGTGTGAAGTAGCCGACCAGCCACCTGAGGTCAGCGGGAACATGAAATGGCACATAAATCTATTTCCACTCTATGAAGTTTCAGTCTCAGAAACCAAGGTACAGAAACTGCATAAGGAAGACCGTTCTGTAACTGGATTAAATCAGCTCATCTACAGGTTAAGCAGAATGACCCAGGCTTTATGTTAACCCGACCTATCTATCTTTTGAATCAGTTTCTGCAATGACTATTTTGGTCCCTTCACAAAGACTTGATGTGGAAACAAATTTACATGTACAGAATCCAGCGATAAGCAAAGTTCATATTACACACAAAAAAGTAAGCTGTTGAGAATGGGTTATGGTATTTGAAGAATCATTCACTTACTGTAAATATTGTTTCCAATTCATCCTTGTCAATTTTCCCATTGCCATCCTGGTCAAAAAGTTTGAAGTACCACTTGAGTTTCTGGTTAATTTCCCCCTTGAGCATCAAGCTAACAGCAGCGATATATTCCACAAAATCTATGTATCCATCCTAATAAAAAAGGAGAGAGAGGAACAGATATTTTCTTTTCTTTTTTAATCCTAAAGAGACCATTCAAGCTGTTTTAATATGAACAGTCCCTCTAAGGAGATTCAGGTGAGGTCATCCTGTGCTTTTTAGCTTGCTTTAACCTGTTTTTAATTGGGACCAATGTCGGCTTTGCAACATTGTTGCATTATAAGCTTTTCTCTTCTAAGCTGAAGAGTCAACATTGACATCTCAATGTAAACCAATCGAATGTGTTTGGGAGGATTACACTACAAAATATAGCCTCGATATTTCTTATTATACATCACACATCATATTGCCTGTTATTTTTTATATATCGATTGAGATAGTTCCCATAGTCAAAATATAAAATTGACCAACATAAATGGCTTGTATAAACGTTATATTCATACCTGTATTATTATATTCATATATTCATACCTGTATTACTTATATTTCCGCAAATATATTTGGTCCTTAATATATATACGTATGAATGTATATATATATATATATATATATATATATATATATATATCTACACTGTCCAAAGTATACTTTTTTTTTAAATCGCGTTTTGCATTGACTCAAAATGTATGTTAGGAGTGGATTAGAAGTATTTTCTTGAAGTAGGTACATTTTGTAATATATTTTGGCAATATTCTTATAAAATTTTTATAATATTTTGATAGTTTATTTTTTAATATTTTCCCTTTTCATTTTAAAACAAAAGTTTTATTTTGTAAACTGTGTTGTACTTCTGTTCTTATATATATATATATATATATATATATATAGAGAGAGAGAGAGAGAGTCTGTATAGTTTTTATCATTTTTTAATTTCAGTTTTAATTTTAGTTATTTTAGTACATCAAGATAAATTAAATGAAATTAAAAATGAGAAATGTTGTCTTGACAATAGCTGAAATTTATAATAATTATGTATAATGTATAATAATGTGTGTGTGTGTGTGTGTGTGTGTGTGTGTGTGTGTGTGTAGAAAATTGTGGATTAAGTTTTAGTTTGTAATAACCCAGATTTTAACTAAATGAAACTTTTGGGGGGGAAAAAAATGAAAAAAATATGTTTATAATAAAAAATAAAAAATAAATAAGAAATAATAAAAAATATGTTTACTTCTATTTTGGCCAGATTTTGTTTCCCTGTATTGTTCAGAAGGCCACATTGACCACAGTAAAGCCCTAAAACATTTTCATGTATAACATTTAACATATAACATTTTCATATATAGCATCCAAATCCGATACACATTTGCCTCTTCTTCTGGGGTACTAATACCTGCACGAATGATAAATGGTTTACCACTAGAGATAACCTCAGTATACCCATCTGATCCCTGGTGCAAAAATCCTTTTGAAATATCAAAGTTCAAACTCTAAATGATAATTATGTAACAAGCATATGAATGAAGATCATCAGAAATTACAATGATGATTTTACATGTAAATATGAATATATAAACCAATCTTACCCCATCCATGTCGAAAGTGTAGAACACCTGATCCACATAACTGGTGGCGTCCTCATTCATCCCCTGCAGTCCCAGAATGGACTTGAGCTCAAAAAGCGTGATCAGGCCTGATGGAGACTCCCTCATGAACTTGTTGTACCAGTGGTGCATATCCTCAGCGAGGATGTCATCCAGACTTGGGTGTTTGTTACCCATGGCTATGCCCTGCTGAGGTAGAGAGCACCCTCACCTCGCACACCTTCTAGTCCAGGCAGCCTGTGACTCTGTGATCTCTGCCGACTGGCCTCCGCACTCTCCAGTGTCTGAACCTATTAGATGCAGGTACTAATAAAAAGAGGTGGCACCTGAAAATAACTCCTGCTAATGGGATGATGGCAAGACCGGTCCCTTAAAGAGTAACTGGCTCAGAGAGAAGACTTATGCAACAGCCTTCAGCCTCAAGATGAACCATTTGCACGGTCATTTTAGTGCAGAGTGCATTAGAGGCCACATCTCAGTATTGGTCCTGAACGCTTTGAGGTCTAACAGTTATAGTCTCTTAAGGCAGACTTTAAATCATTCTTATTTTCACTAAATAACAATTCAATTTAAATTAAAACACTAAAAACTATGGTAACACTAAGGTGGCATAGACACATTTTACTTACTCAAATAAGTAATTTTAATACCTACATGTGCTTGCTAAAGAGTTGAGGTAGGGTTAGTTGTAATTATGCATAATTTACTATTACTAGTACACGGCTGACGTCACCTTAAAAAAAGTGTTGCCAAAACTCAAATCAGCCATTTTAGATACAAACCAATTTAGGCATTGCAACATTATAATATATAGACTCACCTAAAGGATTATAGGTACACCTGTTTAACTTTTCATTAATGCAATCTAAATCAACCAATCACATGGCAGTTGCTTCAATGCATTTAGGGGTGTGGTCCTGGTCAAGACAATCTCCTGAAATCCAAACTGAATGTAAGAATGGGAAAGCAATTTTTAGCGTGGCATGGTTGTTGGTGCCAGACGGGCCGGTCTGAGCATTTCACAATCTGCTCAGTTACTGGGATTTTCTAAAACCATTTCTAGGGTTTACAAAGAATGGTGAGAAAACACATCCAGTATGCGGAAGAAGTCTGGGCGAAAATGCCTTGTTGATGCTAGAGGTCAGAGGAGAATGGGCCGACTGATTCAAGCTGATAGAAGAGCAACTTTGACTGCAATAACCACTCGTTACAACCGAGGTATGCAGCAAATCATTTGTGAAGCCACAACACGCACAACCTTGAGGCGGATGGGCTACAATAGCAGAAGACCCCGCCGGGTACCACTCATCTCCACTACAAATAGGAAAAAGAGGCTACAATTGGGAAGAGCTCACCAAAATTCGACAGTTGAAGACTGGAAAAATGTTGCCTGGTCTGATGAGTCTCGATTTCTGTTGAGACATTCAGATGGTAGAGTCAGAATTTGGCGTGAACAGAATGAGAACATGGATCCATCATGCCTTGTTACCACTGTGCAGGCTGGTGGTGGTGGTGTAATTAAGAACCTTTAGTGCCAATTGGGCATCGTTTAAATGCCACGGCTTACCTGAGCATTGTTTCTGACCATGTCCATCCCTTTATGGCCACCATACCCATCCTCTGATGGCTACTTCCAGCAGGATAACGCACCATGACACAAAGCTCGAATCATTTCAAATTGGTTTCTTGAACATGACAATGAGTTCACTGTACTAAAATGGCCCCCACAGTCACCAGATCCCAACCCAATAGAGCATCTTTGGGATGTGGTGGAACGGGAGCTTTGTGCCCTGGATGTGCATCCCACAAATTTCCATCAACTGCAAGATGCTGTCCTGTCAATATGGGCCAACATTTCTAAAGAAAGCTTTCAGCACCTTGTTGAATCAATGCCACGTAGAATTAAGGCAGTTCTGAGGGCGAAAGGGGGTCAAACACAGTATTAGTATGGTGTTCTTAATAATCCTTTAGGTGAGTGTAGTATGTAAAATGGATAATCATTTTAAGATTTGCAGATTATTACATTTAACAATGTTATTAAACTATTAGTGTTTTGGATGATTTTTAACTTTGTGTGATGGTTGAAAAGTTAAATAATGTGCAGTTAAATATCAGCCAAAACAGATAATTAAAAAACTTCATGATTATATGGCCCAAATCTGCATTCCCAAATTTAATTATTTAATCAGTGATTGCAAGTATATTATTTTGGATTTACTGTTACGTTTTTATGCCTAAATGAATGTGAAAGAAAATATGTATGTAAATAACATGTTTGATTTACATCAATTTAACAAAATAGAGACAATTTAATAAGCACATTTTGTAGTTTAGTCTGAAACTGAAAGTGTAAAAAAAAAAACTGTTTAGTGAACAATCAGAGAGGACGATTTAATTTTCTGTCAAGACAATGCACTTATAAATATAAGTAAATGTGAGAAGACATGCTTTTTTGGGGCAATTTATATAGGCTAATGGAGTCGGATAACACTTTAGTTGCCAGTCAGATCACTGACTTTTCTCACTTGAAAGTGACGAGGCAGATCCGTGCTCTTCGTTAGGGTCTTAAGGTTGTTTGTATTCACTAAAGTAAATGGGATTAAGTGACTATAGCCATTAGCTCAAGCCTGAACCTCTCAACTCATTAATTTCCAGCCATTTCCAAACGCCTTCCTGTAATTTAAGATACGTTTCCTATGATGGGATTAGTTGCACTGAGTCTGTTTAACGTCACGTGATAGAATGAAACAAATTAATGCTCAAGAACATGTGGATACATACCGAGACCATTATAAGATTTGCACTGAAATGTGATATTCAGCGAAGAAGACCTTGTGAGCAGTATGCAAGAGGAGTGTTATATATCTGGTTATAAACAGTATTAAACGTGTTATTATTAATAAATATATGAAATTAAATTATAATACATAACGTGCAATCAGAACAGTACTAGAAGGGCTATATTTCCACCTAAGTGTCACATCTAATTTTCTCATCGCAATTGTTAACCTCATTAGTTTTTTATTGTGTTTTTAATCAGACTTTGCTGTGCCTATATTAGCAATCAGGACAAACCAAGAAGTCTGGCAGTATTTCAGTAAGAGCCTGGTTAGGAAACATGAGTTGATCCACTGTAATCCTTCTTCCCTTGACCTTGAATATCTGATTCTAATCATTAATTAATCTCAGTGCCATTAATGGACAGTAACGAATCCTTTCAGGACCTAAAAGCATAAGGTCTGTGCCATTATGTAACTAAGTATACAAGTCTGTTGTGTTCAGGGTAAATATTAAAACACAAAATGCATGCTGAATGAGAGTGCTGGAGAGATCTATTTAAATGGTAGGCCTAACCTGTCCCTTACTAGAGCTTCCATGAGGTCAGCACTGATTCCAGAGAGGAGAACAGGTCTGGGAGGTTGAGCTTGTCAATGACCTGATTAAAAGATTTTATAAGAGAAAATTGTTGCTTCTGCAACATTTCAATGCTTCTCAATATTTTTTCACTCGAAGGCTATAGATATTTCTGCTTCTGCTTGTTTTCATTCTTTTTATTGACAGAAACTAGTGGCAATATATTAAAAAATAACTACGGAAAATAATTAAAATTAAACAATACATTACGTAATTCTAGAAGTTTTCACTTGATGTTCTTTAAGGTTTATGATATATATATTTATGACTTTTCCAGTTGTTCATGATTACGGGATAAGGCTTTTATTGTTTAAACAATTTTCTTACTCAAAAATAGCAAGCAATTCTCAGAAATTTCTACCCATTAAAATATTTTACATCTTGACAACAGGAAAAACCGGTAACACTTTATTTCGATGGTCTACTTTAGACATAACTGCAAGTAACTTTGCAACTGCATGCCAACTATAAAGTATTATTACACTGTCTGATTTATATTTGCTATTTTGATGGTCCTCCAACAGACATTCTACTGACTAGAAGTGTTGCAAGTACACGTCAACTTACTCTAGCTAAGCCTAACCTAAAAATCTACTAATACTCAAGAGTTCACATGTAGCTGCAAAGTTAGTTGAATGTCTTAATGGACTAATGGTGCGTTCACGTGCTATGGAAAATAGGATATTTTCCACTTGTCAACTGGTATTTACCAGTGTGTTGCATTCAAGTGGTTTTGTTGTCGTAATGTGGTAAAAAGATGGAGATCCAGACCTGTTATTTAGCTAAAACTATTTTAGATTGCTTAAGTCATCTGCAACAGCAAGAAATGATTTATCAAAACTCAAAAGGTAAATAATATGCTGTATATTTTCAAGATCATGAATAGCATTCACGACTTCTTAGCATTCACTACTCTCATGGTGCTCTCCGCCTGAAAAGGTCAAAGGTTATCTCATCTCGGGATCTCGTCCATCAAAATATTCTATGAGTTGCCCAGTGGAAAATACCACATGAGGAGGTGCTCATGTGCATTTTAACAACACTACATTGAACTTTATTTATTATTTCAGATGCCTTTTTAAAATACGGAAAAATTATATAGCCTAAACTGCGTCACACATATTGGCGCGTGTTTATGTCAAGCCCTGTAAGTACATATTAAAGTTCAATATTTGTTTCACAGTAGAACAGTACAGTTTCCATTTTTAATTTCTTCAAGTCTCAAAAAAAAATAAAAAAAATCGAAAAATTTTTTTTCATATTTTTGAAAGGAATACAGCTGCACAAACACACAACACAAACAGAATAAAAAAAATCTTTTAGTGGAGACAAATAATAGCCGCGTTTCCACTGCCGGGCCAGGGCCGGGCCGTGCTAGTGCGTGCCAGGGCCAGTCGCGTTTCCACTGTCACTTCCGGGGCTTGATCGGGGCTTCCTCAGGGCCAACGGCCAGGATTTCTGGCCCGTCGAATACCTTGGGCCAGAGGGGGCCAGCTCGGGCTAGAGGCGTGTTCAAGGTAAAAGGCGGAGTTTATCGGTGTTAAGGAACGTTATGATCTGAAGCAAGATGCACAGGGGTGTCCATGTTTAACCGATTAACCGTTTAAAATTGCATAACATTTTAATTTGAACTGTAGGCCTATGCCAAATGCTGCGCAACAAAGGCTATATATAGCTACATATCGACGAATTTTCAGATATTTGTTTGATTTTTTTGCCCCTTAAACATTTAAAATATTTGACAAATTAATATGAAAAATATATATATATTTTACTGGTTTTCTGAGGCCAAATTAGAACCTGGAAATGATATTTTCCCCGCAGTGCTGAATGAGAAGAGCCGTAACCACAGCCTACAGAAAGGGGATTTATGGGTGATTTATAGGCTATAATAAATGTGTCTGATAATAAAATAATATAAAATAACGAGGCATTAATTGTTTATTAATAAACTATTGTTTTCTAAATGATTTTCGGCTAAAAACATATCTCCATCTCCGGATGCACATTTAGAGAGAAATTAAGCTACATAAACATAGAAGATATTGGCTTTCGATTCGAATTTGTTCGTTTTAAATTGGACATTTAAAGCTTTAATCTACAGACTAAAGCTTTAAATGTCCAATTTAAAACGAACAAATTCGAATGCGGTGGCTGTTTCAGGTCTCGCGCTTCAGTTCACGGAGATCATGAAGCGCGCCTTGATTAATTGTTAAAGCACAACGTTTTCTTGTTATAAATAAATGTATTTGCGAATAATGTATTATTATTTTCTGTATGACCAGAAATTAAAGAGTATTTTAAGTTGTTTCCACTGAAAGAAATGCAATGAAACTGTTCACATGGGCGTCTCGCAGCCATCAGTGCGTGCTCGACACACACTGGATATGCGCTGATATTTGTCAAAAATATTGTGTTTATTTGTGCTCTGTTCCTTTTTTGGATAAAGACGTCTTCTACATATGCAGCCTAATAAAATGTTACAATAATGATGATGATGGTTATTATTATTATTATTATTTGCAGACACGGAGTTTTTGTGAAATGGACGTTTTGCTTATTTTTAATTGGCAATTTCAGTTTGAAGGGTGATGGAAATATGGGCTTTAACTGCTCCGTACTTGCTGCGTTTTATTTCTATAAATTAATTTCGTTTCAAATGGGGTCCAATCAGTTATTAAAGGTGTTAAAAATTTACTCTGTATCTCGAGGTTGCGGCGCGCACACTATGCACCGAGTATAGTATATATATATATATATAACCGATGGGCCTCGGTTAACGATTAATGAATAACTTGAAAACGTGCCCGCAGCCCTACTTGTTATATCGCGCAAAAAATCGCTGCTTGAAATGGAGAATCGCCTGTACTGGTCTCGGGACACTATTGCAGCCACTGCGGCAGGTGAGTTAATATACTATCTTCCTAATTTAAAAAATAAATTTTAATTCATAATACCCGCTGAAATGGGTTGGGTTTTATGACGTTTGATCCTGAAAGGCGTGTTAGGGGTGGGGTCTGGGGCAGCGCTGTGGGGCTACTGGCCCGGCAGTGGAAACGCAAGCCCGGTGCTTGAGGCCCGAGGCCCAATGGCGCCACCAGGGGGTGGCCAGGGGTGGCCATGGCCACCCCTCGCCGACTCCTGGCCACCCCATTGGCCACCCCAATGGCCAGTATTAATTTTTGTAGCATCAGTTATGCATTTTATAAATAAGTCAAAAATATTCTTAACTAAAAGAAGACGGGGAATTATGTGTCGTGCCGTGCTTTTTAAGTGCCAAATGGTATACAGCAGCTTTTAGGTGTGTTTTTGCCACGTTTGGACAGGCAGGGAGGCAAACAGCGCGCTTTTCGGCGCCTCCCGCTTTTTTCACGTCAGTTTGGGTGACAAAGTCATCTGAAGTCATTCCATAGCTTAATGTGAGGGACAGAAGTATATTTACATCATTAAAATATAAACTCGTTTTCCCTCCTCTGCGACTGTCATCATTCTCCATTCATATTCAAACAGCACGCGCGCCTCTTGGATGCACGGTAAAACTCTCTCCAATATGATATATTGACATTATAAATGCATGATCTGTAGATAAAAGTCTGTATATTCGCATAAAATTACTTTATTTTCTTGGAGTTTGTTGCTGTTTTTAAGCGACTCACCGTGTTCTGTTAGATCACACATACATATCACAAGGATTATGAATCGGCATCAAACGCACAATAACTGTGAAACAAAGGAACAAATCGCACTTGGATTTGTGTGCTCAACATTTTTTCGATTTGACATGAGCTTTTAAATGCACACTTATGAAGCGCAGTGCTGCTGCACACTGTGACTCCATGTTGCTTTGAGCACATCATTCTGCACCCGCGATGTTTTTCATGTAATCATGCAAGAACGGGCTCAATCATGGGTTTGCGCACTGAAATATTATTAAAAGCCAATATATTTTGTTATACCTAGCCTGCTCAATACATTTTAAATAAGCATAATTTAATTGTATATAATTTATTTGTAGTTTAGGCTATGCACTTCTGACTTCTTGACAGTAATATATAAATATAAAATTGTGACATGATTGCCTGATTGAATTTTAAAAGAGAACTAATAGTAATTTGTTTTTATTAACATATTTAGATTTTATAAAATTACTGTGCAGATTTTTTCAAGAATTACTTTTTGCTGCTGATGTATACACTCATTAAGTGTATTAAAAATTCATAATACATGTATGTAATATTTAAAGGTGTTAACTGTAATCTTATCTTACACTGCAAACTAATAACTTAAAAATGATTAAATTCATCACAATTATGTAAGTATCTGGAAATTTGCTGTGGGGCAAGGACCCTTATATATCATATAATATATATCATTATATACAATGTAATATATATTAGTTGGGCCCTACTAATATCATTAGTAACATTAAATATTACACAATAAACCAAAGTATATCAGTAGGAGTTTCCTTAAGTCTTTCTGATAGTTTTCTACAGGCTGGTTTATTACAACAGTAGAAAACAATTCTGAAATTATGGTTTATACTGTAGTTTTGGTGTGCCACCCCAAGATTTTAACTGGCCCCATCTGGCCACCCCTACGAAAAATTTCTGGAGGCGCCACTGCCGAGGCCACTAGCTCGGCCCGGCTCGCTGTTAGCTCTGGCCCAGCCCTAGCCCGGCAGTGGAAACGCGGCTAGTGATATGCAAAAAGTATAATCTCAAAACCAAATTTACGTGTAAAATTCATACAAGCGGCTCAGATCAGAGGTATTATCAAAATATCAACACAACTGTACAGGGAATATACTGTTGTTCTCTGCATCTGAAGGATTCACTTCCACATTCAAACGACTCAACTGTTTGACATAGACTAGAAGCCTAATACCAAACTATTCATCTTTTCTCCTGATGTCTTTGCTTTGCTTAAGCAGTGCGTTCGGCATGAGCCAGTTGATTTGACCTTCTTCTCAATTAAATCCCTGCAAAATATAAATGAAATCAAATAAAACAATAAGTCCTTACTAGTGCTTATAACTAGTAGTAAACTAGCCTGGTTAAAACCAGACCATTCTCAGCTGTAACTGAGTTATGGTCTGGCAAAGCGTCATAAACAAATCATTTCCACAGGGGCGTCACCAACGGACGTCGCGGGTAGACCTAAAACCAACGGCGGCCGGCGGAGAAACATCTGCGAGTGTTGTTCTTTGCTCGGTTTTTAACAGAAAGGAAACGTTCAAATCGCTTAAAACAGACGCGATAGCTGATTCGAACAAGTGATGTTCGATGGCGACATCCATTGTAATGTAGGCTACAAAATCTGTTTCAAAATCCCAGCGCTGTCGTCATCGTGTAAAGCCCACCCCAACGTTTCTGATTGGTGCCGCGATTTCGACGGATTGGAAATGGGCTTGAATGAGCTCTTTGCCAGACTAACTATCAGAGCAAATCTAAATTTGCCGGAAGTTGTCTGGGTTTTCCCAGGCTAGTAGTAAGCAGAAATATGCTAGTGTGGCATCCTGGAGCTAAAGAAGTAAATGCTCACTCACTTGGTTCTAATGGTTCACATCATCTTTCTGTTCCTCTTGTTTCTCATCGGTTGTGTCAGGTTCTGTCTGTGGTTTTCCATGAGGTACCATGACTGGCTCCTCACATGTTTCTTCTGTACTGTTAGCCAGCTGTGGTTCAGCCTCATCTTTCTCTTCCTTTACCTCTTGTTCCATCTTCTCTTCCTTCAGCTCTGGCTCCATCTTCTCTTCCTTCAGCTCTGGCTCCATCTTCTCTTCCTTTAGCTCTTGTTCCATCTTCTCTTCTTTTAGCTCTTGCTCCATCTTCTCTTCCTTTAGCTCTTGTTCCATCTTCTCTTCCTTCAGCTCTTCTCCCTCTTTCTTTTCTGAAGTCACAGTCTCCACTTTTCCCTCTGGTTCCGCCTTCTCTGAATCTGTCGATTTAGTTTCCTGCTCAATCTGTTCTTTAGAGGAGAGAGATTCTGTGTCTGGTGACGCCTTCTGATTTTCAAACACATCCCCTTCGTGTCCATTTGGAGTCGTGGGTTCGAGGGTTGCCGAGGCTGTTTTATCTTCCTCTTCATCGGCACTAGACTTCCTGTTTCGGCGAGACGGTGGTCGCCGCTTGATGGAATGTCGAGCTCTACCCTGGGTTGATTCAAAAAACACATTCGATTTAAAATACTGCACCATTTTTTTTCGGTTTTAATCAAGTGTATAACACACATGCTGAAAAATGAAGCCAAAGCATTTTGATCGCCCCCTGGTGGCTGACTGCAGTATCAGTCATAAACCCGCCCTCTCCATGTTATCGAATGGGACACGAGCCGGAATCCAATTTTCAAATTTTCTGTCACTTAAGGTAGTTCTTTTCATGAAGACATGTTTAAGTGTTCATTTTCTTGTAAGTTTAGTTTTAATTAGCTATCTGATGCTATAAAAATGTGGTGGAACTTCATGATTGACAGCTGTGCTTTTTTGCGGGACCTTGATACTGCGACTCCACCTCAGGATCACTTCTGTGCAGACTCTGGCTCCAAATAATCGGCAACGACCCCTTTCTGGGATATTTTGGCTTCATTTTTCTCATCCATCTTTTCATCTATGGTTTTAATTCACTGACATGAAATGATAAATAAGCATCAAACCTTAATGATGCTTTTGAGAACAGTTCCCTCTGTGGGATTCTCAAAGCTGGCAGGAGTTTCCTCCTGTTTGGGTGTGACAATTGCAGGAGGACTAGAGGGGCTGCTGGGAGAGCCGGGGGAGAAGGAAGGCACCGGTAACTTCAACGCCCCTGGGCTCTTTGGGAAGGGCAGTGGCCCCGTGGGAGAAAGCGCAAGGTTGGCCTGAGTGAAATGAGAAGGAAAATCATGTCCGATATGGCTCTTCTAAAGCAATACAACCTCTGTCGACTAGAGGGAAACACTGCTGTATAAGATTAGTGAACCTGAGAATAACAAACCTGCAGTTTCTCAATAAGGGCAGAGTTTCTGTTCTTCCTGGGTGATACTGTTTCAGCTCCTTTCTGAATGGATTACAAAAAATAATTATTCTGCATCATTGCTATGGAACATTGAATATTTTGATTTGATGTAATGTAAAAAAAAATCTATATGCATTTAACTAAGGAATTATATTTTAAAGTAAATTAATTTAACCCTCTATGGTAGGGTTAAATGTGTATGTTCTAACCATGAAATATGTTTTACAAATATGTTTTTATTACATGAAATCACTTCAAAAAATGTTTACTTAGGCTGTACCACAATGGAATATGGTCAAAAAGGTAGCCTAGTTTTTGTATAAAATTATTATTTTCTTTTCTATTTAATTGCACATTTCTTATAGAAATGAATAAACTTATATACTTGGAACTCATGCAAACCAAAAATGTAATCCCTATCATTTGGCTAACTCATCCTCACTCTCATCACATGGAAGAGCTAACTCTGCACTCTTCCTTTCCGTAAAATATTGCTGTATTAATTTTTTGAAAATAAGAAATCAATTTTTATTTATACATAAATACAACTTCAATAAACACTTCAAATAAATAAATAAATAACTGCAATTATATTGTTGATGCTACAATCTGTGAAAAATACTAATTGGAAAATACATTAGTGCAATTCCACTATGGTACGGCGTTGCCATACAGCAACAAACCTATTTTTCCATAGTGGTACAGCATTGAATAAAATATCTAATTTACTTATAAAAAAAAAAATCTCCCTTGAAAAAAGAGGTTTAGAAATGAGGTTAATCGAGCAATTTCAATTTCATTTTAAACAGATGTTATGTGACTTAAAAATCACTGGCTGTCTCAATGCCTGCCCTTTTAATTCACACAGTGCAATATATAGTTTTTTTCTGAATAACAAGGAAATTACTAGAAATGAATTGTTTCCAAATGGCAACGCCACACCATAAAGGGTTAATTAACTCCCTGATCCTCTCACCTCATCTTGGCCTTGAGCTGCATCATTACTAGCAGGCAGCGGGAGCGAGCGTGGGGGTCTCCTCCGCACAGGCTTGTTCTGGAACAAAAGAACAGCTCAGATCCACATGCTCGAACACATACGTCCACTTTACCTTACCGCCAATTTCCTTCCACAGAACTCTAGTTATCAATAACATGAGGTTACACTTTATTTGACCCTTTAGGCATTCTGTTGACAATAAGTAATGTTGCACCTGTCAACTAACCCTCATTAGAGTATTAGTAGAGTATTAGTAGACTGTTAAGTTTAGTAGTAGAATATGTTGACATGCAAGTTTCTGTTGAGGGACGATCTAAACACAAATACTCTACTAATACTCTAATGAGAGTTAAATTAAATAAATGTGATTATTTAAAAAAAACATTTTTACATGCTAAAAACAATAAATAAGAAATAATAAAAAGTGTCTAAAATTCAATTAATAAAAAACAACATAGTAATGTATGAATAAAATAAAATTATTTAAAATATTTATATATATATATAATATTTTAAATATTTATTTAATTTATTTAAACAACCATATCTAAAAAAATAAATAGTTTGGAATGAGGAAATGTTTGAGAAATGTTACCAAATTAAGCAACAGCACTTAAAAAGGAGGGAAGCAGGAAGATAGTGGTAAAAACAAGACAACCCATCTGTCACCTGCATATACATGCAACGTAATATTTCTGCATTGCACGATCGCTCTTATTAATATCTGTGCTTAGGTACGCTTTTCTTTGGTGTCTGTTTCCTAAGCGATAGAATGACACTTTGCCATGCCGTACATGAGGATTCACACAACCAATTTTAAGATAAAAACCTAAGGACATAACAAGTCACAGCACATTCAAAGGGAAAAAAATCTGGCACGCAGGAAACTAAAAATACACTGTGGAATCTTTCCAAAGAATGAGACTGGGAAATTTGTTTCCTTGTCTGAAATTTAGGGGAAAGAACGAACTCTCACTATCACACTTTCCGTTTAAATGAGCATACAGGGTGTCAGGTAACACAGGTATGTGCTACAAAAATCATTCTACATAACTGTTCCCTATTTTAGCAGTAAAGAGATCTTAATATAAGTATATAGCCTACTGTATTTAGATAATTAACCTCACATATGTCATTTCTATTATCATTTGTGGGTTTGTTTCTTTTGATTTAGTCTTTTGGGAAGTCTTCTTTTATCTTCTTTTAAGGGTTAACTGTGTTTTTAAGGAAATTTCAAAGGAAATGAGGAAAAGCAGGAAAACTGAAGACAAAATGAAAAAAACAAAACAACAACAACAACTAAGCAATAGCAGAAAAAAAAACTAGAAGACATTGTCCAGACTTCGAATCATCAACGTCCAGAAAAAGGCGATGGGACATATTAGGAATATGAAGTGCGAAAGCAGAGAGGATGTGATCATACAATATGAAACCTCACCACTTCAGCATCTGTCGTATTGGGTTTTGGACAACTGAATTTTCCAGCTAGTTCAGCCACAGAGCGCTTTTTTACAACAGAATGCTCCTGAAATACAAAATGTTAGTGTATGAATGAGAATGTCCCCTTCTTTTTGATAAATATTGAATCATGTCATCGACTTTAAAATGAATTTATTTTTAATTGTGAAATCTCCGCCCACCTTAATATAAAACAAATCTTCTTCAAACGTAGAACACACACTATTGCAAAGCAAATAAGTCCAAAGCAACACCTCCAATTAAAAGAGTTTAGTCCAGCTTTTACATTTCAATCTTCAAGTAAAGATTTCTCATGACAAGTTTTGTAATGCTGACTTTCACAGAGAAGGCTGAGATAAATCTAGTTTTTCACCACAGGAAACCACGAGAGTCGATCGTGAGCGCTCAGAGCAAAGTGATGAAAAGAGTGCATTTCAAAAGAAATGGTTGAGAAACTATCCTCAGGGGGACACGGGCTCAGTCGGGTATGACTTCAGCCCAGTTATCATCCCCTTCTCAGGCTCTTCCATCCACAGGCTTCCATCTATGACCATTAGCAGTCTCACTATCAGTGGAGGGAAACCAGTTTGCCTTGTGGAGAGTGATAGCACAATGTGGTATTTTTGGGGTGAGGCAATGTCTATGGACTCAGACAACTGCTCGCCGTCAAGGCGTTCGGTCTCTGAGCTTTGTGGGAACCCACCATTACTGAGCTACATGCAGTCTATAGTTTACAGGATGTTGGTTATACAATGATGAGGCAACTTAAGCTGAGCTGATGTATTTAAGACAAGTCAAAAACAGGAAGGGTGCTTGAGCTGGCCAGGAGCCTTAAATCAGATGCGTCATTTCCATTTAAACTACTCTTGAGCAAAGTTTATTTTGAATGCAACTTTTTCTGGCCATGAGACTTCCACAGAAAATACATGTACATGTTTTTTTTTTAATATTTAGACCTGATTGCTATGAGGATGTGTAGAGAGTTTCAAACAGTATCACATAAAAAAATCCTACCATACCTTTAAATGAATATTTGAAGAGTTCAGATGCAAAAGCCTCTAAGTGCCATTTGAAATTTTCTTCTAGAATGATCATTTTTATCAAGCTTGTATATTTAAGTTCAGTGATTTCACTTAAATGGCAATGATAATTACCTATTAATTGTTATTTAAGTGAAATTACTGAACTTAAATATACAATTTTGATAAAAATCATCATTAAAGAAGAAAATTTCAAATGGCATTTAGAGGCTTTTGCATCTGAACTCTTCATTTATTTAACTGTTGTATAAAAGCAAAAATACATACTGCACTAACAATGATGCTGTTTTAATCTAATTTCATATTCCTTTTAATATGTAAATAGATTAGTTTGGGATTTTAACAAGAAACTTTACTACTACACTATATGTTCAACTAACACAAGTCTAATCTTCTTTTATCTTGCTTAGATGTTTTATGGTGTGTTCACAAGTTTACAACTCTTTGGACCAAAAAAGAATGATACATTAAGTCCTGGTTTGCTTAACGTTCACACTGTCGTTTTTTTAAAGGAGTAGTTCACTTTTAAAAAAAAACTTTTGCTGATAATTTACTCACCCCCATGTCATCCAAGATGTCCATGTCTTTCTTTCTTCAGTCGAAAAGAAATGAAGGTTTTTGATGAAAACATTCCAGGATTTTCTCCATATAATGGACTTCATTGGGAACCAAACGGTTCAAGGTCCAAATGAAAGTTTGAGTGCAGCTTCAAAGGGCTTTAAACGACACCAGACGATGAATAAGGGTCTTATCTAGCGAAACGATCAGTCATTTAAAAAAATATTAAAAAACTTTAAGTTTTATAAGCACAAATGCTCGCCTTGCTGTTCTGTGATGAGCGTTCGTGACTCTCCTGTTCAAACTAGTTCATCAAAATGAACAAATCTTTTTTTGAGTCATGACTCGAAGGGTTCGTCACCCTTATTCGTCATCTGGTGTCGTTTAAAGCCCCTTGAAGCCGCACTGAAACTCTCATTTGGACCTTGAAGTTCTTGAACTGTTTGGTTCCCAATGAAGTCCATTATATGGAGAAAATCCTCATCAAAAACCTTAATTTCTTTTCGACTGATGAAATAAAGACATGGACATCTTGGATGACATGGGGGTGGTGAGTTAATTATCAGCAAAAGTTTTTTTAAAAGTGAACTACCCCTTTAACACAGAACCTAAAAATACAAAACAAAAAACAGCTTTTATGATGTATATTTTGCCACAGAACTTACATCCAAAACAATGCTGTCTGCTGGGCAAAATGCACTTGTTGTATCTGAGTACATAGAGTATAATGGTATTGGTATGACACATTTGTTCATTTTTAGGGTCACATCTTGTGACATCACATCCTGTTTTTAGCGCGTTTAGATGTCTTTGGTCCATGTTGGGTTGATATTTCAGTTGAACTGCACAAGAATTTGTTTGGAAGTGGATCGAGATCCCCTAAAAAAAGGGGTGTGCACCAGGGTTCAGTTGGCACCGTTCACATTTTTTGAAATCAACTGCACCAACAGGGCAATCGAGGTGGTTAAAATCAATATAAACTTGCCAAGTGTGAACAAACCCTTAGTGAGCCTGGAAGACCTTTTAAAATAAAAATAGGTACACATCCCCACTGCTTAAAATGGCCGAAAAAGACACCTGGTGACTTGACGCAAATAGACGTCTGTTTAAAAGGCCTCTATTTCCCCCAACCTCTTTCTGTCTGTTTCTCTCAGTCGTGCCTGTGTCTGCTGCCCATGTGTTCCAGCTTCCCTAGATCCAGTCCTCTTTAAGATAAAAGCATTCCATCTCATCATGACATCATTCGCCCTATTTAATGCCCAAGATGGAGAGAAAAAAACTCGTTCTGTGAAAATTCTTGTTGCTATTTTAAATATATAGGCACGTTTAGGATTCACTGATGCATCATTGCATCTCTCAAACTATGATACTCTGTGTTTTGTTTAGCGAGAAAACTAGAAATTAGTCATGAGAGAAACAGATATAGGAAGTTTAGCCCATATCATGCAGTTACACATTTATTTGGCAACCCAGTTCACTGTAGAATGAATCCAGCCTGAGAAAGCTTCATCCAGTGACCCCCAAGACACGTTCATAGAAATTCTTAGTGTCACTGACAAATTAAAAATGCTATGCTAACTGCCAAAAACAACATGGCAAGACGATGAGGACCTGCCCCAGAGACTGAACCGCTCCCATGCCTGAAATGCAACGTAAGAGCATGCTTGCCATTTTAAACAACAGCAACTGAGAAAACACTGATTTCCTTCAACCAGATCCCCTTTACAATCACATATTTGAAGATTCAGCAAGTAAAAGTTGCATTATGCAAATATATACTCTGCCATTGTTATGCATTTCTGATCTGTGGGAATATTTTACAGAGAACATGGAAATAAATCACAAATGTTGTGGTGTTTACTTTTGAAAGCTTTAATGTAGTATCTCACATGCTAAGTACAGGGTGTTGAGCTCATTACTACTCATTTAAGGCAGGGTGCGGGCAGCTTTTTCTCTTGAGACCCAGTGGGTGGTGAGATTTACAGCATATGTGTGTGAGCCCCACAGCTGTGCCTTTGCACACATTTAACACACACACCTGCAAAGATGACCCCTGATCATGTCATCACTGTTGCAATAGTCACTCATAGTTCCTCCAAGTTTTGCTACCACAATAAACTAAGCAACAAAACACAGATTTGCTCTGAAGCTTATTCGTAGCAGTCAGATGACACGCAGCGAGTAAACAAAGCAACAAACAGCACAAATACAGTCAATTCAGCATGAGCCTTTCTTAATCTCCAAAACAAAGACATGCTCATGATGCATATATACATATCAGCTCATTAAACACAAGGCCATCATGAGTGTGGGAGCAGCTATGTGTAAAAAAAACATCCAAGTTAGCGGGACTCTGGGGTATTTCATCTTGCGTTTCCTCTTCAACTGTTTCAGCCACACTGTGACCAGGAGTGTTTTTTCAGAGGCAGAAAGGGAGAAAAAAAAGAGAGAATTGGATAAGAAAATAATTTGTTGTAGGATATTTGAACAGAATGTGAAGAATTCAATTTCTAGTAACAATTTACAAAAGCAAAAGGCTCAATTTCCATTTGAAACAGCAATGGCATTTAAAAACTACAACAAATAAATACTTATTTCACTAACATTCAAAAGCTTGGGGTCAGTAGGTTTAAATAATTGGTCAACTCCTAGTTATTGATTATTAATAGTTAGTAAGGCAGATGTTAAAGTTAGGTATTTATATTAAGGGATGTAGAATATGGTCTTGCAGAATAAGGCATTAAAATGCCTTTTATTTAGCAATGGTTCATTAAATTAATCAAAATTGACAATAAAAACATTTATAATGATTTACAAAGATTTTTATTTTTATTTTGACTATATCACGGTATATATATATATATATATATATATATATATATAAATAAAATACAGTTTAAGTTGTATTAATGTATTAATATTTTACAATATTACAGTTTTAGCTGTATTTTGATACATACTTCTTTTGAAGAGGTGTGAGAGTATGATGTGACCAAATACTGCAAATATGACAGCACACATTTAATTTTATAAGTATGGTTTTGCATGTAGGTATTCCATCTGCTTTTGACCCGGAAACTATGAAAACATCAAGTGTGACTGGAAGATTAACTTCATTAGACTTCAAACTCCAAAAGCAAACCCAAACACCCTCCTCCTTATAGAAGTCTAATAGCACACACAACGCTGATTGTAACCCAGGCAGTGGAAAACAGAATCTTATTAGTGTCTCACAAAGAATCTGTTGTATGTCAGAGAGTTGAAGAACATGAGGAAGCAGCAATGATTCAATTTACACTGAAACATGTCCCCTAATGGGAGAGGATGCACAGGAAGGAAAAGACAGAGCCTTTCCATCTTAAAGCTAAAACATGCACTACGGAATGCCATGCCAAACTGTCCAAAATGTCAGAATGCAATTTATAATTGCTTTTAAAAGAATGGTCAAAGAGCTAGTTCACACTTTTCA